TATACTAAGTCGTTTTTATGACTTTTTATGCCTTACTATACTATGACGTTTTTATGACTTTTTATGCCTTACTATAATATGACTTTTTATACCTTACTATACTAAGTCGTTTTTATGACTTTTTATGCCTTACTATACTATGACTTTTTATGCCTTACTATACTGTGACTTTTTATGCCTTACTATACTATGTCGTTTTTATGACTTTTTATGCGTTACTATACTAAGTCGTTTTTATGACTTTTTATGCCTTACTATACTATGACGTTTTTTTGACTTTTTATGCCTTACTATACTGTGACTTTTTTATGACTTTTTATGCCTTACTATACTAAGTTTATGACTTTTTATGCCTTACTTTACTATGAATATTTTTACCTTACTATACTATGTTTTTATGCCTTATTATAGTATGACTTTTTATGCCTTACTTTACTATGACTTTTTTATGCCTTACTATACTATTACTTTTTTATGCTTTATTATACTATGGTGTTTTTAGGCCTTAATATAGTATGACTTTTTATGCCTTGCTATACTATGACTATTTATTCCTTACTATACTGCAACGTTTATATGCCATGATGTTTTTGTGCCTTACTATACTATGACTTCTTATGTCATGTTATTTTGCCTTACTATTACTTTTTATGCCTTGCTATACTATGACTTTTTCATGCCTTACTATATTATGACTTTTTATGCCTTGCTATACTATGACTTTTTATGTCATACTATGATTATTTATTCCTTACTATACTGATTTTTTATGCCTTACCATACTATGATTTTTTATGCCATACTATACTATGACAATTTATTCCTTACTATACTATGACTTTTTTATGCTATACTATACTATGATGTTATGTCTTATACTGATTTTTTTTATTTACTATACTATGACATTTTTACGACTGTACTATTAATTCTTTTATAACTTACTAAACTATGACTTTTGTTGTGCCTTACTTTACTTTTTGCCTTACTACACTGACTTTTATGCCTTGCTATAGTATGATTTTTTAATGCCTTCCTATACTATGATGTTTTTATGCTTCACTATACTATGACTTTTATACCTTACTGTGCTATGATGTTTTTAGGTCCTTTCTGTGTGGAGTTCATACCTTACTTACTTGAAGTTGCACCCATTATTCATGGAAGGATCATGGGTAGGAAAAAGGTGAATACCATTTCCAATTTATAACTGGAAAAAAAAAAAATCTCAGTACACCGCAAATATAATAGATCTCTCCCTGCCTCTCTCTCTCTCTCACACACACACACACACACACTCACACAAATCCACACAGTAAACACACAGTACAAGGGAAAGCTCTTTATTTTCCTTTGCTCAGACTTTGACAAACAAAACAAAGCTCCAGCGCCTGAGACAGCAGCAAATAGTCCAGCATCTTTCCAGCATGATGTCACTTGGAAACAAACTTCTGACAAGAAAACACATTACATCACACAAATAAAATATGATTAGTCAAACCATTCAAACTTCGCATTTGACCCAAAGAGAGAAGGAACCTTGTCCTGCCCCGGCTCTCTCTCCTCTGCTGCTGATAGCTAAAAAGGTGTGAGTCATGTGACACAGTCTAAAGCAGTCTCTTCCTTGCTCCACAGCTGTCAATCACTGTTCCCTCAGCCAATAGCACAGCTTGCAGTCGCTGTGGCTTGAGTTGGGAGGGGGGTGTGGGGGGGGCAGGATGTCATCAGGGTAGGCAGTGCGGGATTGGACGCTCGGCTTAAACTGCGTGAGATGTGATTAAGGGAAGGAAGGGTGGAGGTGTCATGTTTGAGTGCCACAATAGCAAAAAAAAAAAACACAAATAGATACACAGATTTAGTTCAGAATAGAGTTTAAATTGGTTTAAATATTACTGTTTGTTAAGATTATACTACTGGGCTGAACTTTGTCTGGCGACAAAGAGCAACAGTTCAACTCACAGCTGTGAAAACAACAGGAATACTGAAAATATTTGCTTGGTGTGTGTGTTGCCAGTGTTTGACTCTAATGTGATATAAACTTGTGTAGCCTGCAGTTACACTTCTGTAGGCTCTGCTTTGTGTGTACCTCTGTAACAGTGTGTATGTATGACCTTTAATCTGTCTGTGTGTGTGAGGTTACCTTTTCTGACTGTTTGCAGACCATTCTAAAAGGCAGGCAAACATGCTTCAGAGGTTGTGTGTGCGAGGATGCTGTTGTGTGCCTATCTGTAAGCCCTGCTGTGCCGGGGGTACGGCAACATAATTGCGTCCACGCTACCTTCGCTGTCCGAGCTGCTGTCAGAGTCGCTGCTGCCAGAATAAACCCACAGTCCTGGTAAAACACCGACGCACACGGCTGCTGACGGCAGGTGTAACACGCCTTGACCGGAGCTCAGGGGAGCCGAAGGTGTCTTCGCCGTCAGGCCAGGGAGTGTTTGTTTATCTTCAGCTCCCCCTGCTCCTCCTCCTGCTCCTCCCTCCTGTTCTAAACAGCACAACACACTGTCAGATTCAGGGATTGGACATGCACACAGGCTCTTTTTGAAAAAGGTCAGGGGTAAAAATTTGGAGAAAAGAAAACTTTTAAGTTGGCGGAGAGAAAGTAAATGCTGATGTTTCGCTGTGTCTGTAGGATGTGTAAATAAGTAATTACATGCCTAAGTGGTATACCAACTTTATATGGTAATGTCAGTGTTTTCAGATTGTTCTTGTAATCCCAAGTAGACAAACAAACAATCACAGTAATGCAGCTTTTAACACTGCTCTGACCAAGGACAGAAAAAAATAAAATAAATATCAATTTTTTACTGTTAAATTTCAGTGAAATCCATATAAAAAACTTTTTTGTTTGCATAAGATGTATGAAGAACCTCTGATGAAATTTAAAAATCTTTGTAAAAATATTTGCATGCAGGTTATAAGCACAGAGACGTGTCTACACTATAAATAGGACAAAGTGGACTGTATTACCAGGTTTCCCAAAAACCATCTTGGGTGAAATTTAGAAAATCAGCTGTTACTAAGCAATCTCACTGACTTAAAATAAACTTAAAACTATTCCACTTAATCTACATGAAAGAGGGTCAGTTCTCTTTTCCAGTTATACAGGCAGTTCTGCATCAGCGAGGTGTACAACTCAGTTTCTGTCTGCTTCACACAGACATTCCTTATTTAATCCTCAGGCTGCAGCCCACCTGTGTGTCTGTCTCCATTTCCTGTCGTTGCCGTTGTGATTTCCACCTTCTGTTTCTTACTGGTGTCTGATGACTGGGAGGAACTGGATGAGGGACCAAAGAGATTATGAAGAAGATTTAAAGCTGTTTTAATCAATATCACATATTGACAATAGGTAAAAAAAAAGACTATGTCTAATGTCACAGAGGTTACGCAAAGTGACAAATCAACAGAAAATAATCACCCAACTCTGCAAGTCCCCTCAGCTCTATGGAATCTTTTTGTGTTTTTGTTTTGAGGCCAACAAAGTTGAGGTTAGCGACTAACTGGAGAAAATCATGGTGCATTTAGCAGCTAATTTCCCTCAGTAGCTGGTGGAGACAAAAACAGACCCAAAAACTGAATGATAATTGGATTAACATTTCATCAGGTGGACATAAACATGACTCCAAATGAATTCTGATGTTAATCCACATCTGTTGGATGTAAGTAAAGTAGCAAAAAAAAAAAAAAAAGAAGAAGTAGGTTTTAATTATCTGTGTGCTTACCTGCGTCTCTTGACAGCTCCAGCCAATAAATGGGCCTGAGACAGGTGGCTGGTCCTCTGCTCTGACCCTGAAAGTTTTGGTGCTGTCTTCTTCTCAGGCTCTTTGCGGCTTTCGGCAGATGCTTGCTTCACTAGAGCGCTGTGATAGTACAGAGTTAAGATGAATAAACCATAATGGAGCCATGGAGAGGGGACAGAGAGGGGCTCAGGGGCAGGAAGAAACATACAACCCATACAGCTGCAGTCAATTCAGCAAGTTACATTCTGTCCTCCCTTCAGGGGGAGCCATTTCATCTCTTCATCAGCGCGCCGGAAAAAGTGACACAGTTCTGAGAGGCTAAGAAAAGCAGTCTGAGGCAGAGTGAGGGAATGAGGGACAAGAGAGTGACACAGATAAAGAGGCTAAAACAAGAACAGGAGACGAACAGAGCTCAGGAGACATGAAATAGGGTCAAGAAGCAGAGACAGACGAACATGGACACGGAGACACCAGGTGGAGAACAAAAGGGACAGGAGGACCAGCTGACACAAACTAGGATTTAGGTGTATGTGAGGTACAGATGAGCAGTCCTGATGTTTTCATGCATTAACTAAGGTCTACACCTGTGTGTCTGCATGGACTTTGTGTTCACAGCAGCAAATGACTGCTTTTACTCGTCACCGTAGTTACCAGCCTATGATACAGTTTCCACGACAACCCATTCTCTTCATCTGCAGACAAACCTGTCTGTCAGAAACCTGTCTTTCTGCAAAGACAAAAAGAGAGTGACAGATGAAAAACCCAGAGAGCAACAACCATCGAGCAAAAATACTGGACAAATAGTGAAATGTGCTCCATGGACGGTCAAGACTTTCATAGCGTGTAGTATCTACACTTTGATGCACGGACCAGTACTTTAATGGACTGTAAATGGTCTGTTTATAAATCAGGTGATTTGTCCGGAACACATGAACTGGTGACATTTTATTTTCATGAGGGCAATTTCCAAGTAGGAGCCGAGAGGCAGCTGACAACTGTAACCCGCCTTTAAACAAAAATGGAAACGACAGAAATCTGAACAGACTGATACAATGTGTCTTTCACTTGAACTAAGAACTGTATTAATGTAACAAGAAACCATCTTGTGATGGGATCACACCAGCTGCGGCGCCTGTCAACATACTGACGTTCTGTTACGTGACTACTCAGTAGTTATTACTATATTACTACATGAGTCCTCAGCACTCACAGGTCAGACTGTATCCATGCATGTGATCCCATCGCAGGATGGTCTCTAGTTTTACCCGGTATCTTAGAGTGGAGGGGGCTGATTGAAACTGGCATACAGTTATCTGTGCTGGTAAACATGTCTATTTTTCTGTATGGTGCAGACCACAGTAAAAGTGCTTTGATGCAGACAGCAACCAGAGCACAGTCTGGGTCTTAATGACTGACCTATCACAAATGGATCCTTTTAAACTCCCAAATATCTTTGTCAATATCAACCTCAAAAATCCAGTATCAGTTGGAACATACTCAGGACCTGCCTACAGTCATGACAAAAAGCAATACAAACGTGTAGATGAGACTGACACAGCTGTAAAGGCTGTTTTCAGTCGACGTACAAAAAAACGAAATAGAACGAAAAACTGTTCAGTTACCTGTTTCTAGCAACCCTTATTACAGATGTCAGCAGGACAGATAAGTCACTTGCAACTGATTTCTTAAGAGCAAAACATCACAAAATACACCCCCCCTCCTCAACAAAAAGATCAGGGGATATGAATGAATAAAGTCAAACAAAATTGAATTTCAATCTGGTAATTAACTGCAAACAACAAAAAAAATCCCTATATCACAAAGACATGGCATGGAATAACTGTATAACACAGAGATACAATTACTGTTTGTGGACAGAGCAATTTGCGTAGAGCGTCATGCTGCTCTCATACAGGAGCATAGATTATAATTTAGAAAGTGTATGTGTGTATAATGTATGCATGACACAGTCCCAGCAGAGGCTTGACTGTGGTGGAGACATGCCTGATTCTGCCAACACACATAAAGCTGCTTATCATACACAAACCAAGAGACTCCCATGTTAGCAGCATGCATGTCCTTCAACTGCTGAAAACAGCATGAAGTGCACAGAATTACCTGAGAACAGCTTCACTGCTTAACTTAGGCAGATATCGAAAGACTTAGTGAGAAACTCTTGAGATCAGAGAGAATTATTGCTCACAATCATACTCATCACAAGTGACAGTTACTTTCGGGGCAGTGTGCAGGAGATCTGGCTCTTGTCATGTAGCTTTTCCTACCACTACACTTACAAACATCCGCACTGTGATAGAATCAATATCCAGCTCCTGTTGACTCAACAATTATCTGACTGACAAAAGTCCCTAATTAATTATTTTAGTTATTCAGTATGTAAATACTAAAGATTTGCTGATTAAACAGTAATTTCACAAATGTTAAGATTTTTTTTGTCTCTTATATTTCAACAAAATCATCGTCACCACTGCATTTAAAAAAACGCTGATTTTCTGTCTGACTTTCAGGCGTTTGAGGTCGATGTCTTAGAGGGATTAATAACACTTGTTGGAAAGCTTTTTATTGCACTTAACGTAACAAGTTGTCAAGCTGCCTCTCCTCTGCTCTGCTCAGCTCCATATGTGGGGGGAGGGAATAAGACACAGACAAATACAAACAAGGACATTTGCAGTCCTAGCTGCAACATCTGCTTTCCCTTAATAACCATTCAACATTTTAAAGAATGGTCTTGGATGCCTTGCAATAATGCACAGACGGGTCCCAACAGTAGTTGAGTGCATCCTGTCTTCCCTTCCCCATTATATGAAGTCTTAACCTGGTCATATGAGAAAGGCCCAAACCTACATGACACCAGGTTATATGAAGCTTCATCGCTCTCTGTGTAACGCTGTTCAAAGACTCCCCCAGGTCTTCTATAAACATCTACTCACTGTATGAGGGCAAGTGACATATTACAAGTGCAGTGATAATCTATTACTTCTATTAACCCCTATCAGAAGCAAGTAGTAACTGCATCAACACTAAGAGCTCTCTGGCACAGCTGATACCGCCCACTCTAACACATACTGTAGCCTGTGACTGACACAAGCAATAGAGTCGTGTTTCAGTGGACAGCGTGCAGGCTGGAGGGTGAGTTTTGCACCTGACAAAGACTGGTTTGAAGTAATATTACGAATGACACATTTTGCCTTTAGAAGGTAATTTTAGCATTAGATTTAAGACGTGTGGATTAGGTTTGTATTAAATTCTTAAGGGATGTACTCCAAGAAATGCATCTTCTTTTGAAAGTAGCTCTTTGACTCCCCTGTTTTGGAGGCAGTGAAGTCCATTGACTCTGCTCAAACAGGGGTATTTTTTTTTTGTTGCAAATTTCAGTTTAGCATTTACATGAAAAAAAAAACTAATAAACTGTTTTCATTTGAAATGTTGTGTGTGGACACTGTACTGAGCATGGAATGGCCTTACATATATTAAAGCTGTAAGGCTTTGTTTGTTTGTTTTTAATCCCAAATTTCTTGAGGTTTGCATGATGAAGTCCATGACCACTCTCCTCCAACTGTCATTTTATACACAACTAAGTAATCAAGATTATTACAACTGCTGTGACTCCATCTACATCCCACTGCTTATTTTGAACATGTTGTAACTCACTAAATGTGAGATAACAGATTAACGTATTTAGTCAAATAACCACAGAGTGATACCAGCTAATTAAAATGTTTTTTTCATATAAACAAACACTTCATAAAGGATATTCTGTATTCCAGCAGTTCCTGCTTCTCCTCGTCCCTGCGTTGCTTCTCCACCAGGCTCTGTTGCCGGGAGACCTCGTCCAGGAAGCTGGACTCATCCTCGTCCAATCCCCTCACCATGTTCCCTGTCACCATGGAAACAAACATGCTCTCAACACATTGCATTTTTCAGAAAACAAACTGTAATAGACTGCTTTAAATCCACACACAAGTGACCATCGTGTAAAAACCCTGAAATCAAGCAGAACATTTGGCAGATGTTATGACATGTACTCTTGCTCTTGAATACTGACACCATCAAAAAATATTTTTAATGCTTGAACTTCATGAGTCTATGTTCTGCCCCAATTAATCTCTCTATTACAATATGTTAAATAGTGTACATAAAGCAATGACAGGATATGTCTTTGCATAGCTTCAAATTTGCCAACTACCAGTGAAACGCAGAAAAAAAATTAAGAGTAACTTTTGAGCAGTACTGATAAGAAAACTTTAAACTGTTGTCCATGACTATTTTTGTGATGAAGCCATGGCAAAGTCATTAAAGTAGCAAAGCTGAACCAGTTACAAAGAGTATGTCTACAGAAATAACAGCCACCCAAGAGAAGCGGAATAAAGCCACACTGTTGCAGAATATCTTCATGCTGAACACATTTGAATCCATACACAAGTGACCGTAATGTCACGGTGGCCGCTTCTACTTTTATACAAAGAAAACATACTACCCAGTTTACGATGTGTTTATGTGGTATTTTATTTATACTTTGTGCCTATTTTTGTCTTTTTCTCACTTTATTGGTTCACTGGGTTACCCAAACTACACTTATTTGTATGATCCCACAAGCCTAAAGGGTTGAGGACCACCAGTTTAATCTTTAACAATTGTGTTGTATTCTATAAGATTATAATATGACTTTTATGTAAAACCTTACTCTACAAGAGTAACTAGTAACTACAACTGTCAAATTAATGTAGTTTAAGTGCATTATTTCCCTCTGAAATCTAGTGGAGTATAAAGTACCATAACTTGGAACCAATACTGAAGTACCTCATACCTATACTTAGATATAGAACTTCAATAAATGTACTTTGTTACTTTCCACCAGTGACCTCTTTCATTAGACCCGTCCTTCTTACTGCCTGTTAAATGAAAGGCCCCAGGAACAGAGCTGGGCGGTGGAGCGATTTTGGTGCAGCGCCCACACCGGGTATCGCAACTTCTGTGTTTTTCATGAGATGCTTTTCTACACAATCATTAGAAAAGGAGCGACTGTAATCAGTGTCACAAACCCCCCTGAAATTACTCATACTTATTATTGGAATTTGATCCATTCAGCATTTGGAAAGTCTAGAAGCACTGTATGATTGAATTACTTTATCCCATTCACATGCACATGGAGCAACAGGAAGTCAGTCGGCTCGGCCAGCAGAGGTCTCAGCCGCCTCCAAAGGAGGGCGGCTTTAGTGAACATGACTAAATCACATCATCTTTCAGATTTTATGCCAGCCATTTGTAATGCAATTTTTCTGTAATAAACTTTAAGTCTCAAGTTTAATCTGAAATAACCCTGACAAAATAATCAGGGTTATTTTCACAGAAAGCTCCTTTTTCTTGTAACCCATCCTTATCTGCAAAGAGCAGTAAGTACATGTTAAGATTGTGAAAACTAGAATTTAGAAATTGAGTATTGATAACAAATCCTTCTCATGCCATCATAACACATACGCGCTGGGTCTTTGTCTTGGTAGAGTAGTAGAGTAAAGGTTTTCACTCAAACCTAGATGACAGAGGTAAAAGTCCTAATGACAGCAGAGAAACAGGTGGACAAGGACCCACTGAATTTGAATTGCTCTTCATATTCCTCCTGCTTCTTGTCTTTCTGCTCCTGCAGTCGCTCAAAGAGGGAACGTGGGTCATACTCCTCCTCTGGGGCCTCTGAGGAGTACACAAACAAATATGTGAGCTATAAGTACTTTAGAGGTGTGGTGCATTTTGGGTCGTGTGTAAATGTATGTATTCTTACCCTCTGGGTCATCAGGTTTCCTGACTTTCTCCCATTCCTCCTGTCTTTTCTTTCTCCTCTCATCAAGCTCTGACTCCGACACAAATTTCCTGCTGAGGTCGACACCCGCTGCCCCTCCCCCTGCCATTGCAACTGTGAAACACACAGAAACACCTTACTTCTGAGTATTATTCTAAAAATATGATATTTAATTCAAGGCTGGACAAAGTCTATTTCTGCTGGACCATTATAGACTAAAAGGTGAAAAGGTCTATAGCAGTGGTTGTCAGTGGTTTTCCTCTAGGAACCCAAGCAGAAAATTTGTGGATTCAATTGACTTATTCTTTATCTATGTAGTTCAGCCAAGGAGTAACAACCCTAATCAATTAAAACTCAGCTTGTGTCCCCTGAGTAAAACCATGTACAACCACTGCTATTGACTATTGCACAAAGCCATTACTTTGTTTAACAAATGCAACATTAAATTCTCTTTATGTAACCATGGCCCCAGTAATGAATGAATCTGTTTATATGTGATGTTTCAATGAACAAATCATAATAGCACCATTAGAGCAGCAGAAAATAAATAACAGTGCAGCTAAAAAATATATTGACATTGACGCTGTATTGTCAGACTAGATATACATATTTCCATTAAAATAACAACAACAAAACTACAGACATTTCCTGACATATTCATGAATGTCTATAATGCCAATCACTCTACAATATGACCAATTTCAGTTTAATGCTGCACAGTTAGAGCTTTTTTCATGGTATTGCAAAACAGATCCACAATTAATCCAGCAGCCATGATTCATCATATCACTACTTTTGAAATGAATTAATGTCGCTCACTCATGCCCAGCGTCACAGGAGAAATCAACTGCAAAACTTGAACCAAAGTTAACACTCAACAAGTCACATCCCTGAGATGATCAGTCACAAATTGGGTCAAATATGTAGGCTATACTAAATGTACGAACTTGTGGTGTCATGTTAAGAATATGCGAAAACAGAGGCGAGATACACCTGAAAGGATATTGGTGAAAAATGCCCGCAGTGATATTTAAGCCATAGTAAATGTTTATGTAACACCAGATGCACACAGTACGATAATGTTGTTCATGTTTTATCACTTTGGTGGTGACACACTGCTGCAGTGAGATCACCAAAAAAAGACAACAACTGCATGTGGGAGACATTTTCTTTAGTTGATGGTTTAATTAAGTTATTTCAAAAGATGAGGACTAAACTCAAACTGCGGTTTTTGGCTCTCCCTTGTGGTCATCCTTAATCGTCACAAGTAATTGGAGATCATTTTGGAGATTATAGCAATTTAACGAACTTTTTCTTCAACGAAGGAAAACCACAAGGATAGCACGATTGATTTGCAACGATGTGCCGACTCAGTTAAATAAACGGTCTCATATTGGATCAAACCTTTTAATTTGTGTCGGCCCAGCTCATTCACTCACCCACTGTTACCCATGGGCAGCGATAACAACGTTAGCCACTAAAAAGGTTAACCTTTTCAAACCACACAGCACATTTAGCCAAGGACACAACAAATAACCAACACATAACCAACACAGCTATCAATCTAGTACACAGCAGTCAGAGTCATTGGCTGTCTGTTACTGTCGTTCAGATGGTCGAGCTGTAAATCTGCGGACACGCAGATGCCTTGTGTTGCAACCCCCGGCTAACGTTAGCTTCTTTAGCATTCAAGCAAACTGTTATCAACGCTGTAGCTAAGAGAACATCGTGTCATGTTGTAAAGTCACTATTTTCAGATGCATAACCGCACAGACTAGATTTTCGGCTAGTGACTGCTTCATATCATGCTGAATTTCTGTAGCCATTTAACTTACCAGTCGATATGATACTGCTACAAATCAATGACGTTTTGTGTCACTCTAAAAAATGTCCCATCACAATACTCGACGTCCGACTATAGTTCCGACTCGCTTTGGGTTCCTTTCTCTGTCGTCGCAAAACAGTGCAGTAACAAACACTGATAGACAAATATCAGTGTACTTTTATTTATTTATTTTTTACAGTTTTAATTTACAAATGTACTTTTGTGAATGTGAAATTTTGCTAAGCGGATAAAAATATTATAATATGTAAAGTGTTTTTTTCTAAACTACAGGGTAACTCAGACCACAGTGGATCTTATCGGTAGATTTACAAAGAGTCAGCATTTATTGACCTGCTTTTCTGCAGCGACTCACTCTTTTTTTTTAAGTAAACATCATTGCTGAAAGTGCAATATACAAACAAGACAACAGTGCCATCATGTGATGACAAGAGAAAACAACAATGTACAATTGTCAAGAAAAAGTATGTGAACCCTTAGGAATTACCTGGTTTTCTGCATGGGTTCATTTACACTGTGAATGTTAAGTGAGTGTGCTCAATAAATATATGAAATATTATAACTGTTCATGTAATATTAGCTTAAGCTCAATGTGTTTGTTTTATACTGACTTAGATGATGATTAGATCAAATTTTATAACTCAATATGCAGGAAATCAGGTAAATAAACAGTTCACATACTTTTTCTTGCCATTGTGTATTTTAGTAATCATTTTATTTCAAAGCATTACGCAGGGAGATTGTTTCTTTGTGGCATATTATTTCTTGCTCACCTCTTAACTTCCTTAATTCTGCTCAGCTGTTTTTATGGACACAACTTAAAAGATAAGCTTCAGAAACAAGCTGCTATATTAAAGTCTTAGGTTTTAGAAGTGATATACAAAGCACCTTCTGCTTAAAACTGTGCTAGAATATTTTGTCTGCTCTGGATTCATTTCACACTTTATCCCACTTAAACCTCTGCTAAACCAGATTTAACAAAACACTAAGATAGGGTGACCTCTGGTGGCATTAAGGTTATTGGGACACAGCGACTGAGTTCTGGCTAAACCGCAGGTACAATTTAAAGCTTCTGGACACAGCAGCTTGGTTTCAGAGGCCATGTAATTTTGTTCCAGATAACCCAGGTTTAAACTCCTTTTTGAACCTTAACCTCCAGCAAAGCTAATGACAGAGCAACAGCCTCGCTCTGTTGGAGACCTTTTGTTGGCCATTTTCATCTGGGATGATTCTGAGGTGTGTCCATTTGCAATAGACTGTGGTTATTTTGTTTTTTTGCACATAGTATTTTAGATCACAACAATACATTCAGGAACTATCCCAGTTGAGCGATGTCATTAATCTAATCTAAAACATGTGCTCTTCCCTGTATTTTACTTTCCAGTGTCAAGCAAATTAGAAGCTTCAAGGCTCAAATACAAATGATACCAGATAAGCACATTGTTAAGTTATTTAATAAGAAAACACAGTTAAATCACTCTTATCATTTCAAAAACATAATAACAAACATAGAAATATATGTTATGTTGTCAAAGTAAGGGCTGAAAATTGTAAATGAGAAAAATTATGAACTGAGCAGTTATTAATTAATGAGTCTCTCAGCTCTCTGAGGGAGGAAAAGTAGCATTGCTCACAGCCCTGGCCAGGGCTTGTTGGATGACTGGGTATAGTTTATAGCATCCCTCGATGCAGGTCCGAACCCCGGCTGTCAGAGTCTCTTCTGTCATTTCTCCATCTGACTGCAGTCCAGAAATCTGGTTCAGGCTGGGGAGGAACGCAACAGTCAGACCGCCCTGGTTCTCGCTGCTGACTGAGCTGCAGTTGTTTTGCTCTGCATAGGAAGGATCAACAACATAAGAGGAGCCATCCTGGCGGATGGAACAACCAAGCACCAGATCATACATTTCGATCCCTGCATCTGCAAGAGCAAGAGAAGCACACGTGACTGCATGGGCCAGAACTGAACCACTGTTCTCGAGAACCATCACGTTGATCTCAATCTGAGAGCGGGGGTATTTGTGGAGGCACACTGCTGGCTGAAGACTCTCATGTAGCATCAGGGAGAGGTCCTTGTCCTGGCTCCCCTGAATCCAGGAACCTCTCTCCGGGCAGGAAAATGGAGCGAAACGCATGTCAGTTGTCAATCTGGAATCACAGAGAAAGACACTGTTGTTGTCTCCATGAACTCCTCCAACAGTACATATCACAGTCACACCGCTAATGTATGATATGAGGTAGTGGATGCTTGAGGGTGAACCCAGCTGAGTTCAGTATACTGACTCACATGAATCAAAATGATATTAAATAACAGTAGAGATGCTACAGGTTATTACCATTTTAAGAAGAAAAAAAAATATTTTTTCTTAGTAGGAGTGACTGTTCAGCACCTGTACAGCACCCCACGACACTCCTCATGGCATACTAATACTACAACACCTCTTACTCACAATAATCACGGGGATATGGCACTTGGTTAACATTTAGATAACTGTTGTGATTTTGGTCTTCAATCAGTCTTGTTTAGTTTTATGTTAAATGTTTAAGTCTCTTTCACATCTTGGGACATGTGTCTCTCACTTTCATGGTTCTGTTGAATACTTATTGATCATACTGAACCAAGTAAGGCTAGGCTTTACTAGGCTACTTATCAAATCAACGTCCTTCCATTTGTGTGTTCACTATTTTACCGACCAAGAGCTGAGATACAGTGAATAAATAACCACAGACCTTCCATATTTCATATCGGTCTCATCTTTCCGCTCTGTTTCTTTGGGGCCATAGACGCAGCACATCAACTTGGTGTTCCCAGCCTCGATGTACGCGGACCCTTTAGCCTGGCTCACCAGCCCGCAGCGAACAAAAACGGGCCGGACGTCCACTTGATCCCGCTGCCGACCGTCCGCTCTGGGGCCGTGCGACGGGAGGACGGCCGCAGGTTTGGCCACAAACAGAGACGGACTTTGGGACACTTCTGGGCCGCGTACACGTTTGGTATCAGTCGGCATCTTGCAGTGCAACAAACCGGACTTGGCAGCAACAGCGTGTGATCGGGTCCAGCACGGAATTCGTCCCCCCCGGAAACACACAGTTAGCGGAGAACTGATTCCACAAATGCGTGGCACTGAACAAAATTACATCAATGACATAAAATCTCAAAAGTGCACGGTTGAACTGGTGTTATTGAGCAATAATATTTAATTGTTATTATTATGTCACAAAATAACAAATTATTAGAAAATTGGTGATACATTTCACGATGAGGAGGTCATAACTTTAACACCTATACTAATAACTCTAACAATGAGAAATTAGTATTGACAAAACATTATACATGAACGTTTAAGTTACGAATGTATTCAACCATCTGTCTTTATCAAGTAGAACATAAATGTCTATTGGCCATAGACTGTATATTGACACCAGAGTCTTTTCCATTGCATCAGCCAAACCAGGGAAGTTTGTACCACTGATGTGGCGGGCTTGGTTAAGATTGACAGTAGACTCGTCCAATAGAGATCGGCATTTGCTGACGTTACGTTGTGCGTGACCAATAGACGTCTGCTTTGGGCGTGTTCACCTTCCTCTGTGCTTTCCTTCTGATCGTGCAGCGTGGGCTAAAGCAGTGTGTTTGGGAGCTGTGCCTGATTCATTCTGCGAGAATAGCGACTTCTGTGAGTATTATAATTTGATCAGGTGCTGTTGAAATAAATAACATTCACTTTACCATTTAGTAACACCGGATCTCCGTAAGAGTTGTGTGCCAAAATCTATTCCTCAGGCTGAACATATAGGGGTAGCCTGTCTGGCTAACATTTAGCTTGCTAACGTCAGCTTGTCAAGCTAGTCTCTGTCCAACACAGCAGTTAACAACCTGCTGACGAGCTAATAATGCAGCATCCCGGTTATTAGAAGCAGTTTAAAATACGTTTAATGATGAATGAATGAATAAATTATGTTGTCAGACATGACTGGCAGTATTTTATATTTTGCGGTACCGATCCCTGTGCGCCTATTTACAGTAGAGTTTCAAAGGTGGCATGGGAGAACTGATTTTAGTTAGCACGGCTAAAGGAAGGTAGCCCTCTGACACTTCGTGTTATATATATAAATCGTGTTAGTCTGTTTTGTAGTCGAAGCACAGGGCTACTCCACTGATTGACTAATCTGGATTATCTGTGGACACAATATTACTTTCAGCATCTGCCACCCACCCGAGCTCTCTGTCATGGTGATTGCAAAAAGACAAATTGTTTTGGCCCTGATATGTATTTGCATCCTTAAAACTGCAGTTCCCCCCTTGTTAATGTAATCTCCTTTTGTCAGTTATCGAATCCTGTTTGCAGGCAGAGTGGTGTCTTTAGTGAAGTCTCATCTGCCTTACAATATAACTTTTAACACCCTACTTCCAAACGGTCTGCTCTTACCAGAGACTGAAATTTCCATCCCATCACCCCAGTGTCTCCACTTTCTCTGGTTGCTAATAGGGTGGTTTGGTAGTCAGGATGGGGACAGTGGCTGTTTACTTTCTGCTTGCTGGATGCAGCAGCTGTGTGGTTTCCTTTGCCAGCTAGTTTACAAATGAGGAGTCCACTGATGGGAATTCAAATCTGCTGCCTTTTTAATTATAGACAGCATACTGTATATTTTGTGATATTGTGGTTATATTGCTTGCTTATAAGTCCAGAAATAGTTTGAACTGAATTTAAATCCTATAGGGGTATTTAAAGGCTTGGATTTTGCTTCATGGGCTTCAAGTGACTTTCAAAAGTTTTTACTTCTTAGCAAAGATTTTGCATCCGTCTCAAACTTGAAATGAAATTAGCTAGCACTTGAGTTCAGTATAACTTCAGTTGAATTGTCTCAGTGAACTTTTCATCCAGACCTGGGTGTCAGATCAGGCACGGAAAAGTAACATTGCAAACCCATGACACACAAGGAAAACGTAAAAAAAACCCCAGGAGAGGAATTTCAAATACACTTTAATTCCCTGTGGGAATTTCAGTGAGGAAACAGTTTGAAGAGCTAAAAAGTGGAATTTGTGGCCACTAATGGAGACAGAAAACATCAGTTTTTTCTGACTTGTAACAGTTCAAAATAATGCAATGTCTTTTTTTTTTATAGTTGTGAGTTTTATTTGTTGCTTTCACCACACAATATTTTACAGAATAAAGAGTAGAGTTGCAGCAAACAATTATCTTTTTTGTCATGTTTTTTTAATAAACATAATATTTATTGGGCCTATAAAATATAAGTAAAATTTAAAAATGCACATGACAATTTTTCTGAAGCCCTAGGTGATGTCTTCAAATTGCAAGTGTGTTAAATTTACAGTGTTAACAAAAAAGCAGTAAATCCACACATTTTAGAATCTGGAACCAGCAGTGTTTATAATTTTACCTGATAAATGAGTTAAATTATTAATTATCGCAATTGTCAGTTCCACTTCTCTCTGTTGACAAATCCCCTTTAACTGACACAAATTTTTTTCTTGCCTTCCGTCATGGCTGCTCCTATAGGCCTCCCTAGGTATGTCATGTCAGCCATAAGTGTCAAACACTGCTTAAGCTCCATCTCACCAAACTATATCCTTTGTGAGCAACCATGGCAGCACTGGGTGCCCTGAAAGCATTCAAGCCTTAAGGCTGCTTTTTAAAAATGATGAGCACAAAGAACCGTGAGAAAAGCCCAAATGAGCCATAGGCTGAGTGATGCAATACTGCAGTAATATGACAGTGCTATACTGCCACACATTCAGATCCTAAACTGATTGATCCAGATGTGTTGTCAGTTTGATTACAGTGCACTTCAACATGAAAAACCTCACCTGTTTCACAGGATTCCTGAGCTGCTGTTGGTTTATGAGAAGAGCCAAAGGCCAATTTGTTGGAGAGGAGCAAATGACAGAGAAGAACTGTCTCTGCTAAAGCATCTTGTTAGAACAAGCACACCGCACAAACTGACTTGAACAAACTGATAGGTTAGGGGTCGCAATATGATACAAAACTGACATAAATTGACGATTAGTTGATTGACACGGAAATAAATGCCACTAGCTTTTGATAATTGATTTTTTGTTTTTTTTGGGTCCAAATAATTTATCAAGCAAAATTTTTCTCTTTCTCCTTTTTGTGTCATTGTAAATAGAATATCTGTGAAAATTGAGAAATTGTTTGACAGTAATATGAGACGAGCAGTTTTCATGAGACCGAATGATTTGTCTGTCTTTGTTGCCCTATATATACTGGGAGCTCAAGTTGCCACATGTTCAGACCACCTGACATGGTTCTCAATTAAAAATGGCTGTTGCCCTTGAGAGCTGTACATTTAACCATGCTTGATCCTTCAGTTTTCTTTGTATTTTTGTCCAGAGAGCTGATTCAGAATGGACTCCTCTTTGAGTGCAGCTCAGATCCGTGAGAAGTTCATTGACTTCTTCCGTCGCTATGAGCACCAGTACGTCCACTCGTCATCCACCATCCCTCTGGACGACCCCACGCTGCTTTTCGCCAATGCTGGCATGAACCAGGTACACTCTCCATGTTGTGCGTCTCCACATCTCTCCCTAATATCTGTCTATCAACTTCTCTCCTACAGGCTGGCCTTTTTTTCTTATTTTTTAGATCTACCCACTGATTTACAGCGTTTTAACTTAACTAATAAAGCGCTTTTTGTACTCCTTTCTCTTAGTTCAAGCCCATCTTCCTCAACACCATCGATCCTTCCCACCCTATGGCCAGGCTGCATCGTGCAGCCAACACTCAAAAGTGTATCCGTGCAGGAGGCAAACACAATGACCTGGACGATGTGGGTAAAGATGTCTACCATCACACCTTCTTCGAGATGCTGGGGTCCTGGTCCTTTGGGGACTACTTTAAGGTATTTTGTTGTCATCCATTTCAGCTGTGTCACATCTTTGTCTCAATTAAAATCTGACTGATCCTGGACTTCCAGACTGATATTGATGTTTAAGTATTTAAGAAATGATAATGATTTATCTGAAAATTGTTGTTGATTGTTGATTTTTTTTTTCTTCTAACAAACATATTACATAAACAATAATGTTGATAGGGATCCCACAGATATTTTTTAAGATTTGTAACAAAGACTAATACTAAGTGTGACATTTTACATTTGAAAAAACAACTTGTCATTGCTTTTTCATAAACAATAATGACAGTTTCTAAACTACCTCAAACTTAGGTTTAATTTCTCTACTGCAATGTCTTTCTACCTATCAGCCAACATATGTACTGTTAATGATATATCTGCAACAAACTAAAATCAACCTATCAGATGGTCTTGCTATACCTACAACTGTACAGGCTGTAGTGCTCTTCGACTAACTTTAATCACGTGCAAGAATTAATTGTTGGAGTTTGTGAAAATAATTTGTAATCATAAGCAATAACAGCTTTAGATTCTTATGTCAATCAGTTTTGTTTTCCTGTGTGTTTTACGTAGTAAACTGGAGTCACTTTCTCTCACGCTTGTGTCTTGTCTCATTCTTCCCTCTGCTCATCCTGCATCTTGCCACCTCCCTCTGCAGCAACTGGCCTGTAAGATGGCCTTGGAGCTGCTGACCCAGGAGTTTGGCATTTCCATAGACCGTCTGTATGTCACCTACTTCGGGGGTAATGCTGACGCAGGCCTGGAGCCCGACCTGGAGTGCAAACAGATCTGGATCGACTTAGGGTGAGACCAGCTTGAGAATTAGATGTATTTGCTATTGGGCATATTTGAGTAACTCTTAATAATCAGCTCCCACTGTGAATGAATTTTTTTATGCTCTGCATTACCTCCGGGAAGTACCGGAAAGCTCCTCTACAAATCATTAAAATCTATTTTTACATACGTTGTGCAACGTATTTGTGTTGCACAACATCTACTGTACTGTATATCTTCCCCTGTTTAAAGCAATTGCATAATGTTGTGTGATAATTCCCCGGGGAACTGTCTTTCCTCTCCACATCAAGTCCCTCTGAGCCACCATACTTACAAAAACAGCCTAGAAGATTCTCTCTTTCTCTCTACCTCCCCAACTCCCTGTCTCAAATATTTATCTTTACGTGAAACATTTTCC